AGAGAGAGAGAGAGAGAGAGAGAGAGAGAGAGAGAGAGAGAGAGAGAGAGAGAGAGATGAGCGATACAAGTTTGGCTGTTACGTACCGGTGAAGTTATTGTGCAGTTCCACGAAGAAGAAGATTGCAGCCATAGCCGTGGAGCTTGACCACGGAGTGACGAAGGAGGGAGAGAGAGTTTGGACAGAGGAAGGAGACCGAGCATGAGAGGGAAGCCATAGCCGAGAAGGACGAAGAAGAGACTAGCAAAAAAAAAAAAAAAAAAAAAAGAGAAAGAGAAAGAAGATTGCTGGGTGAAGGGAGGCGAGGAAGGTGAAGAGAAGAAAGAAGGTTGGTGAGGGAGAGAGCAACCGGCAGCCATAGCTGACCGAGGGTTGACTGGGGGTTGACTGCAGCGTTGACCGACGTTGACCAAGGCGTTGACCAAGACTTTGACCAAGCTGGAGTCGGTAAAATCTCGCCAAGCCTTCAGCCTATCCCTCGCTCTATGGATGTGCACATACCCTATGGTACTTGCTGAGTCCGGTCTGTTTGTCTCTTCTTTCTGCATCGAGTCTCTTCTGTCCTAGGTGATAGTACTCTGTGGATGAAGGATAGGGTCTTGTTGACCAAACCCACACGGGTTGAGTAGGGCTAAAAGCTGTGTCTGACGACTCGACTGTCCCGGAGGACACGAACCCTCCCAAGGACCGGTACTGACCGGCGGGCTGCTCGGTGTGGCACGGTAGGCCCAAAATCCGAGTTGTGGGCTGCACAACAGACCGTCTAAGTGTTGAGAGACCTGCTGATCGCGTCGTCCTGTCCACGACGTTAAATAATTCCTAAGGAGTTATGGGGGATCTCCTTAAATGCCTCCTGATCAGCAACATGTCTAGTAGTGACAGCCATAGTTAGGTCCAGGCTAGAGACTCTAGTTGGCAGGTCCTTGTCCGGATTCTGTGAGTCTTAGATTGAGTCAGTAGGTCTGGCAGTCAGGGGTTAGAGTCTACGTGGTGAGGTTTGGAACCATAAATTCGGTTGTGCACTGATCACCATGGTTGACCTTCGTAGTGGGAAGAGTACTAGCCCTTACACCCCTGAGCAGCAAGAACAAATGGCCGCCTTAGTAAGACAGAACAAGGAGAGGAAAGAGCTTGTAAAGCAGGCTAAGTTAAAGACGATTGCAGAGGAGCAGGCGGTGAAGATGAAGAGATTGGAGGAGGAGATGAAGAGAGTTCAACAGGAGGAGGAAGAGAGGAGAAAGGTTGTTGAAGAAGCAGCAGCAGCAGAAGAAGAGAAAGAGAGAATGTGTATTGAAAGTAGAGAAGGGAGTAGTGGCACGGAGAAGGACGAGGACGCAGAGATGGAGAAAAAGATCAGCGGGTGGATTGCTAATTTATCGCTGGGGGAGGATGAGGAGGCAGAGTTCTATGTGTCTCAGGATGAAAGGGATGTGTTAGCCCAGGAGCTAGCAGCAATGGATGACCCCCTGGAAAGACAAGAAAGAGAGGAGGAGAAAAAGTTGGAGTGGAAGTTGAGAATGAAACGGGAGAAGAAGAGGAGGGATGAAGTCAACAGATTGACCGCAGAGGTGGCAAAAATGAAAGATTGTAGGCAGGAGGTGGAGACTCAGGCAGACGACAAGGCCAAATGGGATAAGGTGTTGGGATACCTGGAAGTGTTGAGCGCAGCCTGGATGGAGGAGCGCCAGGCCAATAGGAGCCAAGAGGTAGCACTGAGTGCCATGCGGTCCGGGTTTAGAGAATTCGCGCGCGAGTTGGTCACCCACGTTGGAGGAGAAGTGAGGAGATTAAGAGACAACGTGGGGAAGTTCTGTGAGGGTGCCATTGAGGGCGCCAAAGTAGCAGCCGCTGTTGAGGGCGAGGCCAGACCTCGCAAGGAGCCAGTCAAACTCAAGTTTCCCGATGCCTATGGTTGGAAATCTGACGAGAACTTCGACAACTGGGAGGCTAGTGTAAACAGCTACATTTACTTACAGCACGTCGTACAGGATGATCAGGTCCTCGTAGTCTTCCACGCCCTCAAGGATAAAGCGGCCAATTTTGCTAGATCCCTCGCGCGCGCGGCCGGTTGTGAAAACAACATGGTCGCCGATTCCAAGGTCACCCCCCTCCCTCAATTCTTCGAGCACCTTAGAGAGCGATTCGCTGATCTTCGCAGAGGCGTCAGAGCCTCTAACAAGCTCCAAACGATCCACTCACGGCAGTGGAGGAGGGCCAAGGCACTCAAGGGCGTCATGGACGACTTGGTAGCCGTCCTAGATCATGGGGTCATTGAGCCCCAATTGGTCCAATTATTTTATCGTGCCATGCCAGAACCCCTGCGTGGGCACTTCTTTGACAAATCCCAACAGCCCACCATGACGTACGATGCGCTCAGCAGGGAGGTGGTGTTGTTTGAGGCTAAGTCCATACCAGTTTCCACTTTCTGGCATAAGGAGTTAGAAAAGGGCAAAAGGTGGAAAGGTCGTACCATCTCTGGCCAAGTCAGGGCCAAGGATCACGTGATCCTTACCTTAGAGGAGGGTGGTACATATGAGGTCCCATATAGTCAGATCGAGTGGGGCCTTGAGGAGGAGGACAGTAGCGTGGGACAAGGGAGGTCCTATGCTGCTGTCGCGACTGGAGGGAGGCCGCAAGGTAGAGGAGGGGGCCATGGCCAGAGGGGCCAGGCCATGGGAGGCTGAGGACCGGGCGCACAGGGGGTTGGCAGACAAGGGAACCGCCAAGTGGGAGGTAGGGGTCAAGGTCCCCCGCCAAATCGCCAGGGTTCTTGTCAGTCCCCACAGCGAGGAGGTAGAAGGCCACCTCAAGGAGGATGGCACAGGGCAGGCCCTGGGAGGATTTGGGCTTGGACTAGCGTTTATGGCAGGAACGCGTGGACTTGGGTCAGTGCGTGTTTTGTGGTGACCCAGCCCACGTTATTAAATTTTGTGCTAAGTATAGACAGGCCCGTTGGGCTGCCCAACAGTCAAAAGGAAGCCGCCAGTAGGGGTTGCAACTGCCCCTACTTTAGGGCCATGTGGGAAAGCGAGCACGCTCGAACAGGAAACTCCCAAACCACGTGAGCCTATGGCAGAGGTTGCAGGCCCGTGCCTAGCTAGCTGTCCAGAGACCGCTTGTGTTAGCGTCTCTCTAGGCACGTCCCTCACAGGTGTGGCAGAAGAGCTGAAGGAGAGGATGCCAGCTTGGGCCAAAATGAAAAAGGAGAGTAAAGGACAGCTAATCTAAGTCGATGAGGAAGTGTTTAGAAGCAGAGTAGGGGCCCTCATAGACTCAGGGGCTACCCGTAGTTATATTAGCCGCAGGGCGTTGAAAAAGCTAGGGCTAGGATTGAAAGTCCAAAAGTTAGCAGACCCTATAGTCAGTGTCCATGCAGACAACGACACATTGCGTGCTGAGGACTACGTAGAGGGAGTCCAGACGTACTTTCGCCTAGAGAAGGATGGGAAAGTGGAGAAAGTTCTCCATTTCCTGACTCTCCTCGTTCAGGATGACCTTCCTTTCGACATGGTGTTGGGAATGGATTGGGGAGAGGCAGCAGGGGCCACACTCCATCTGAGAGAGCATGAGTGTAGGCTCCGCAGTCCGTCAGGCGAGGTTAAGACTGCCCGCCTGTTTCATGTGTTAGGTGTAGACAACACTCTGGCACATTGGTGTCTCAGTGCTCCCGCGTTCGCGCGACTAGTAAGAAAGGAGCAGTTAGAGGACCAGGTCTTTGCAGTGTATGTTAGACCAGTCACTGAGACTAAGGAGGAGGTGACTTCCACAGATCCGACCATTGCCAAGCTGCTGGAAGAGTTCAAAGACTTGACTGAGTGGCCGACAGGAGTAGTGTTGCGACCCATCCAGCAGAGGATAGAGATAGAGCCTGGCAGTAGAACTCCTAAGGGAGCGGTCTACAGGATGTCCCCTAGAGAGTTAGAGGAGTTGCGCAAGCAGTTAGACGAGCTCCTCGAGAAAGGTTGGATCAGCATTGTATGAATGATTTGTTCAGACCATGGTTGGACAAGTTTGTAGTGGTCTATTTAGATGATATATTAGTTTTCAGTAGAACCCTCCAGGAGCATCAGGGTCATCTGAGGCAGGTCTTGGAGAAATTGAGAGAGTCAAACTTCAAGATCAACGAGAAGAAATGCGAGTGGGCCAAGACACAAGTCCTGTACTTGGGCCACGTATTAGACGGAGATGGCATTAAGCCAGAGGACAGTAAGATAGCGGCGATTAGAGATTGGTCGACGCCCCGCACATTGACAGAGTTGCGGTCGTTCTTAGGCCTAGCTAACTACTATAGAAAGTTCGTGAGGAGCTTTTCTACTATCGCCGCTCCCCTGCGCAGGTTGCTTAAGAAAGAGGCAATCTGGCAATGGGACAAGGATTGTACGTCTGGGCTCAAGAAAGTGAAGCGCGCGTTGATAGTGTACCCTGTCCTCAAAGTAGCTGATCTGTATTTGCCATTTGTCGTCACCACGGACGCGAGTCAGTATGGTATAGGCGCCGTGTTGCAGCAAGACGACGGCAATGGCTGTACACCCATACAGTTCATGTCAGCGAGGATGCCCTCAGAGAAGGTAGCCGCCTCGACGTACGAGAGAGAACTCTACGCTCTCAGGCAAGATTTAGAGCACTAGAAGCATTATCTGCTTGGGAGGCACTTCAAAGTATATTCTTTAGATGGTTAAAGACCCAGGCCAAGATGACACCCAAGCTAACTAGGTGGGCCGCTGAGATAGACCAGTACGACTTTGAGCTCAAGCCAGTGAAGGGCAAGTACAACGTAGTTGCGGACGCTCTGAGTAGGAGATCAGACTACTTTGGAGTCATAGTACATTATCTGGATATAGGGAGAGACCTGTAGGAGAAAGTGAAACAAGCGTATGCGCAGCACCCTATCTATATCGACCTCCTAAAGAGAGTTAGAGAGACCCCAGAGACCGAGCCACACTACCGCACTATCGACGGATTGCTGTTTGAGAAGACGGATGTATTCGACCGCCTGTGCGTTCCCAACAGTGAAGAGATCCGCAGTCTGATCCTAGGGGAATGCCACGATAGTGAGGGACATTTCGGTTGGCAAAAGACTCTAGCCAATCTAATGCATTGTATACCTGGCCAAGAATGAAGAATGACTGCATAGAGTATGTCCGCAGTTGCAAAGTTTGCCAGAGAAACAAGACTACTACGCGTGCCCCTCTAGATCTTCTCAGACCCTTGCCTATTCCTGATCAGCCGGGAGACTCAGTGTCCATAGACTTCATGGACACCCAAGTCAAGAGCAGACATGGTAAGAGCCAAGTCATGGTCATAGTCGACCGATTTAGCAAGTATGCTGTTTTTATTCCTTTGCATGCAGAGGCACGCACATAATTGGTTATTCGGAAGTTTTTTGATCATTGGGTCAGTGAGAATGGAGTCCCATTATCCATAGTTGGGGATGGAGATAGTCGTTTCACCAGCCAGAACTGGCAAGAACTCATGAGAGTTTACGGGTCAAAGTTGTTAATGTCATCTGGCCGTCATCCAGAGACCAACGGCCAGACAGAACAGATGAACAAGATCCTACAACAAGTTTTGCGCATGTACATTAGACCTGATCATATCAATTGGGATGAGATGTTGCCTAAGGTAGCTAGTGCATACAACAACAGCGTGCATCTATGCACCTGCCGCACTCCCAATGAGTTGCACAAGTCCTTTAGACCACGCAAACCGTTCGAAGGACTGAGTCGGGATCAGATTCACAGACTACCGCGCGATACCAGGGAGTTCGCAGTACAGCATGAGAAAGAACTAGCAACTGTTGTTGAGAACCTCAGAAAGACCCAACATAGAATGATAGAACAGGCTAATAAGCACCGTCGCCCCTCACAGTTTCAAGTAGGCGACTTAGTCTGGGTCAAGTCTAAAGAGTTTGCACCTGAAGAGCACATCTCGCAGAAGTTATTGCCTGCCTATAGGGGACCATGGCTAGTTCTAGAGGTCAAGGGCGGAGAGGATGGGCCGTCCTATACAGTAGAGATCCCAGCGCACCTCCACACTTATCCTTTATTTCATGCCTCAAAGTTGTTGCCGTGTGTCACAAGTCAACAGTTCCCTTCAAGAAGATCCATGATCCCCCCGGATATGGACGGAAGTTATGACATTGACGACATTGTAGATGAGGATGTGTTTAGAACAGGAGGTAGAGGTCGTCCCCAGAAACAATATAAGGTCCGATTTGCTTATCAGGAACCTGAAGACGACCGCTGGTTTACAAGGACATAACTTCTAGAAACAGCTCCCGACATAGTCAGAGCCTATGAGCGTGATAAGAAGGGTAAAGGTCCTGCCGTGGACTGAAATATTCTCGGAGGACCTCGAATTTAGGACGGCGGGAGTGAAACGGTTTTCACCTCTTTGCAATAGCAGATGCAGAGCCCAGGGCTCGATCCCTAAACCTCACCCTACTCGTGTACAGTATCTGTGTAGACCCCGAGAGTTGAACCTGTGACCTGTGTATTCATAGACAGTTGGTAGGCTACCCTAGGTCCGTCGGTGGTAGGGGATTAGATCAATAGGTCTGTCAAATAGAAGTCTTAGCGAAGTCCATAAGTCTTTGCTGTAGGCTTCTAGAAGGTCAGCAAGTGGGCAAGTGGTCAAGTGGTGAGCCAAGTGGTGGACTAAACCGCAGTGCGATTGCAGTACGACCCCGGTGGGATAGCAGTGAGTCCCCGTTCAGTCAGCGGTCAGGTCCAGTCAGTCCCAGTCCGGTCCAGCAAGTACCACGAGGGACTGTGAGCACCATGGGCCGATGGCAAAGGGCAGACCAACGAGTTTCAGAAGTATAAATCAAGAGGCAGCGCGCAGCCATTCATTCATTCCTGTGTGAGCCATGCAGAAGTGCTGCCACAGCGACTTGTGCAAGGAGGTCTGCAGTGACGCCCGAGGACGAAGTGGGCAGAGAGGAGGAGCGTAGCATAGCGATAGGGTTGTTGTGGCCATAGCCGCCATAGCTTAGTTGAAGTTCAGTGTGTGTGTGTGTGTGTGAGTGTTCAGAGAGTCGTGTGTGGGATATCCAGGGTGATCCAGTGTATGTGAACAGTGAGTTGTTTGGGCGCTGATTCCCCATAGCCAATTGAGAGTGAACTCGTATCTGGATGTCATATCTTTGAGTTTTGAGTGGCCACATGTTGCCAGTTTGCTGCGCTACTGTTTACATGCATGAAAGGTGTGAATGAGAACGAGTCTGATTGCATAAGTGTTGTCACGCAAAAATATGAAATGGCCAAAAGTCCCAACTCTAGTAACGCTATGTGACACCCGCAGCCTAGGCCGCGGGCATTTCGGCCGCTGCGGCCGAGAATCTCGGCCGCGGCCGCGGCCTGGTTTTTTAATATTTTTTTTTAACCTAGAAATACGTAAAAAATAAAAATAACAAATATATTGGTGTAGGGCTTGAAAAACCTTACAATCCTATGTTTTTTATTTCGGAATCCGACTTCTGTGAGGATTGAGCCCTCAAGTAGGGGCCTTGCCATGATGTACTTGTTCTGGGCTAAGGCCCTAGCAAGCCTAGTGCCCACCCTAAGTGAAGGCGGGCCAGCAAATCAGCAAGAGCCCTCTATGCCAACATTTCACGAAGTGGGGTCTATACAGTTGCAGCACGCCAGTTGGTTGGAGTGCACCGAGTCTCGGATTTCAGCAAATGCTGAAATGCCCAGGGCCTCTGAGTTAGTTAGGCCGTGGGCACTCGAACGTGAGGCCGACAATGCATGCTG